CGGACATACAGCCGTGTAGCACCGAGCTCGACGGCGATGCGGAGTCCGTTGATGAGGGCCTTGTACTCCGCGGCGTTGTTGAGGCCAAAAAATGAAGATGAATCACGTAGCGGAGCCTACTCCCATCCGAGAAGATCAGAACCACTCCAGCCCCCGAGCCGGGCGCCATTACCAACCCGTTGAAGTACATTGTCCAGTACTCGTGGGTGACGTCCGGGGTCGGGAGCTGGACTTTCGTCCATTCGGCGATGAAGTCAACAAGAGCCTGAGACTTGATAGCTGTGCGAGGAATATACCTGATGTCGTGACCCATGAGCTCAAGAACCCACTTGGAGATTCGTCCTGCTTCATCGCGGTTGTGGATGGTGTCTCCCAATGGGTACGAGGTGACGACCATGACCTCGTGGTCAGTGAAGTAGTGCAGGAGCTTCCGGGTCACCATCAGCACGGCGTACAGAAGCTTCTGCACCTAGGGGTATCGAGCCTTGGCATCGGTGAGGTTGAACCTTCAGGGGGTGTCCTGGCTCCTCCCTTTCGACAACAAGGGTGGCACTCACAATGTGGTTGTTTGCCGCAATGCAAAGGAGGAGGGGTTCTCCCTGTTCAGGAGCAACGAGGACTGGGGCTGACGTCAATGTTGCTTTGAGGCTTTCCAAGGCCCGTTGTGCCTCTTCTGTCCAGACAAATGCGTCTGTCTTTTTGAGAAGTTTATAGAGAGGCATCCCCCGTTCCCCTAGTCGGGAGATGAACCGGCTTAGGGCGGCCAAATAGCCGATGAGCCTCTATACGCCCTTGACGTTGCGTATAGGGCCCATGTTGGAGATGGCCAAGATTTTTTTGGGGTTGGCTTCGATGCCGCGCTCAGACACGATGTATCCGACTGCCACTGAAGATCGCCCCGACCGCCTCCTCCCTGGAGGCGTGGTTCATGGCGATGTCGAGCAGGTCACGGGTGGTACGGGGCTTTAGACAACCAAGCTTGTGGATCAAGGACTCATAGGTTGTCCCAGAGAGGAACGTGCTGATGACGTCCGCGTCAACGACATCAGGAAGGGAGTTGCACCATTTTGAGAACCTACAGATGTAATCCCGTAGGGACTCATTGGGCTTCTACTGGCAGCTCTTGAGGTCCTAGGAATTCCTAGGACAGACATATGTCCCCTGGAAATTCCCGATGAAGACCCTCTTGAGATCCACCCAGTCACGGATGCTGTCGGGCGGGAGGAATTCGAGCCATGCTCGAACATGCTCCCCCACATAGATGGGGAGGTATTGAATGATGAAGTGATCATCATACACCCCTCTGGCTGAGCAGGCGAGTCGAAAGTCTTCGAGCCATATATCGGGGTTCGTCTCCCCGGTGTATCTGGCGATGTTGGTGGGTGGTCGGAAGTGCTGTGGGAACGGCGCTCTCTGTATGCGATGACCAAAGGCCCATGGCCCCAGGCCATCCGGGCTGGGGCTCCGGTCATTTGGTTGGCCGCCATGCCTGGGATGCGTGTCCCCATACTCCCTGATGTTCAGGCCGGGGCCCATGCCGCCTGCTCTTGCCGCCACTTGATGGACACCATCATCGCGCCGGGCAAGGTGCTGATTGTTGATGACGCTGCGAGCTTCAAGATTCGGCCCGAGCCGTTCGCGCACAGTTGGTCGGTGTGGAGCGGGTGGCAGGTCGGGCTATGGTGCAGCCACGGCCTCCTGCCCCACGCCCGACATTGTAGCGGTGAGTGGACGGAGCGATTGGACTGGTGCGGCCCCATTCCCTTGGTGGGGCAAGAGGCCACGAGCCGGTGTCGCAGCGCGGAGCTCTCCGCCTGTTGAACGGCGGTGGTCTCCACCAGCGTCCGGAGGTTCTGGTGGATTGCTTGCTCCTGGGAGTCGGCCAGCTTGGGGAGGCCACGCAGAAGCATCGCCGCAGCAGCGATGTTCTGGCCAGCTCAAGTGAACTAAGAGGGGGTCGTTCCCTCCATCTAGGATGTTGCGCTGGACCTAACAGGCGTGACCTCAGACGCCGCTCGCTGGGTTACGCACGCGTGGCGCAGCGTGCTGCGCCGAGCGCGCCAGCACAGGTGGCGGTTGGCTCTGCCGCCTTTGTCGTAACTCCTTGTCGTGCTTCTACGCACGCGCGAGGGCCTCCGCACGAGGGTCCAGAGGGGTTTGAGTCTGTAGAGACTCTGCTACCACCGATGGTTGTCTCGGAGCGTCCACCATAGCGCACTCCTAGGACAGAGGGTGGCCAGGTGCCACAACGTCGCCGATGCTGGAGCCGTCGCTTTCGACCTCGTCATCCACGAGGTCGTAAAAGGAGGCGAGAGCGTAGCCCGCCATCCCCACGAATTTGGATGTGAGAGGGGGCGGCGTCAGCATCCTTCGGTGCCCTCGCGCATACGTGTTCGCGGGGGACACGAAGCCATAGGGGAATCGGTCGCACGGCGGTCGCGGTGGGGACAACGGGGTCCCTTTGGAGAGTCGGCGGAAAGTGTTAAATAGTGAATAAAGAACAAAATGTGCGTTACTCACCGTGGAGTTTGAGCCCAGCAAGGGCTCGAGATGAAGCGCGGGTGTCTCGACACTGAGGTCGTCGAGTGGCCCGTGGCCAACAGAGGGCGCTCCTCCTCCAGTGGGCGTCAGGACAAGTGTCTCCTTGCGAAGGTGAAGTACGCCGAACCGGTCGGTGATGAAGTCTAGACTTTCGAAGAGGAAGGTCTGGAATGGCTTGAAGACGGGAGGAACCCACATCCCAACAGGTGGGAGCGTGGGAAACTCTAGCGAGCCAAAGCGAATCGTATCGCTTGAGCCCGTCATGCCGAAGATGGTGGAAAGATGGGCCATCCGATGACCAAAAGCGTGAACGCACGGCGTCCTCCCCACGAACGGTGCCAACTGTCGTTGTGAAAAATGACCAACAAGTAAATATTTGTAGTTTTACCGTGCGTTGTGATCGGATGTGGCCTAGCACTCAATCACACAGGATTTATACTGGTTCAGGTAACGTGCCCTACATCCAGTTTCAATCGGTCGGTGACTTTATTCCTAAGCCCAGGTGCTCGAAGTTTGCTGTGGGGTTACAAACGAGTAGGAATAAAAAGGGGGGTGTTAGAGGCTCAGTCGGACTCTGAACCGAAGATCCGAGAGTGACGGGGGCTCTAACGTGCACTAAGTATTGGAGTGTATGCTCTGTGTAACTGTTGAGTTCTAGAGCTGTGGAGCTGTTCGAATGCCCAAGTTCTCTAGAGCCAGATCCAGAGAGAGCCAAAGAGAACCTTTTTCAGAGAGGAGAGAGCGCATCTCCTTTTGTAGTTGAAGGGGGTGGCCTTACAAGTCAGAGAAAGAGAGAATGGATACGCGTGCTACCTAGTCTTGTTGCCCACGCTATTGGGTTTGAGATGATCGTCGGTGCCCGCAATACTGTTCATGCCCAGATGCATGTGGCCGGCTTTACCGTGTTCGACTGGAATGGCAAATGTCGGCGCCTACCACACTGTAAGGCAAATGTCGGCGCCTACAATACTGTTTGGGTTATGACACGCCTAGAAGGTTGCATAGCGCCTATCTAGCATGGCCTGGTGGCACCGTCCTGCAGGTGCGCAGGGTATGATAGGGTACGGTCCTCGGTATTACGGTTTGACTTGAGCGTATTACCTTATCTGCTCCGCCTGATCCCCGGGCCTTTACCGAGCGGTCATTTCTGATCGGCCCCGACCGTGTCGGTCGGGGAAGAGGTGCAAGCAGAGGTTCGGTGTATTTCCGGTCAGAAAAGGAGGTCGGAGTCGGACTATGTCTCCACCTTGGCCAGGCCTTCCGGTTGGGGACCGGATCGTTCTCTCGGACTGTCGTTAGGTATCTGGGCCGGCCCGGGAGGCGCGCGTTGTCGCTACGCCGTCTGCTGGGCCGAGCTTTTGCTGAGAAGCGGCCCCATTGAGGACCATGGGTTTATGAACCTGACACTATCCATATCTTTGCTAACTTTTTTATCTTACTAAAACCATAGTAGTAGAGTGGAATATAGGGACCTTAGTACTTACTCGATGTCCTTCCAAGTTAGCTATGCCTTCTATCCTTTATTGCTTAGGAACTTCTGTGTGTCACACTACTCTTTTATCTATCTTTACCCCACTAGACTTTGGCATATTATTTATGGAATAATCAATGACAAGTTATTATCAAACACTCATAGCCATCGCTTTCCCTAGGAATTTAAATATGACACTTTGGAATACTTTTAGGTGAAATGCTACAACGATGCTTACAGAATCAACTACTTCAACATAAGAAATACCAACACTGATTGCTTAGGAACTTCTGTGTGTCACACTACTCTTTTATCTATCTTTACCCTGCTAGACTTTGGCATATTATTTATGGTATAATCAAGGACAAGTTATTATCAAACACTCTTAGCCATCGCTTTCCCTGGGAATTTAAATATGACACCTTGGAATACTTTTAGGTGAAGTGCTACAATGATCTTCATTGTGCTTGCAGAATTAACTACTTCAACATAAGAAATACCAACACTGACTAGTTGGCACCATGTCTGGAGCGGCCATGGCAGGAGCCATCAGCGACAGCGGGCAGGTGGCACATGAGGGATAGAGTTCCCTCACACGATACTAGACACACGGTTGCCAAGAGACACTACCCTAGCTAGTTCCTTTGATGGAGGGCGGAATAGCAAGCCCAACTGATTAATAATCAGTAGCAGGCTAGCACCCGGCCGAGTTGGAAACTTTTGAAAGTCAAGCTCGGACGAGACACAAACCAAGTGGAGTGCACCTATACTTGGCCATCGGGCCGGTGGTAGCAGCGGTGGGACACGGGCCAGCAGGGGCGTCGACCCGGAGCTGCTGCGCTCGCTGCCTGTCACGGTGTACCACGGTTCGGACAAGGGGCAGCGGTACGCGGTGGAGTGCGCCGTGTGCCTCGCCGAGCTCCGGGACGGCGACGAGGCCCGGTTCTTGCCCCGCTGCGGCCACGGCTTCCACGCAGAGTGCGTCGACATGTGGCTCGCCTCCCACACCACCTGCCCGCTCTGCCGCCTCACCGTCTCCAAGCCCGACGACGTATCTCCTCATCTGGCGCCTTCCTTGGCTCTCCCACCGGTCGCGCCGGAGCCCGCGAACTACGCCACCGTCAACCTCCCCGCCTGCGTGCTTCTCGGGGTGTCTGACCATGGCGCGGTCACTGCGGAGACTATGACCACCGACGTCCCCACGAACCCATCCACCTTGGTGATCGAGATCCCGGAGCTGGCCGTGCCGACGCCGACGCTGACCCCGTGCGACGCTGCCAAGTCACCGGGCTCGGCGAGGCTGAGATCGTTCAGGAGGCTGTGGAGCTTCGGAAGGCAAGGGGCCGGAGAGACTCCTTCCTGCTCCTGTGCCGGTGCCGGCGCCAGCGAAGGAGTCGACTTGGAGCAGGGTATCAGCTAGCCTTACCGACTTACCGTTACCATAGCACAGCAACGGAACAGGACATGCGGCCGACCGGCCAGCCGGAGAGCAGCACGAATTTCTGCGCTCTCTGCAATGGTGCACATGTATATTCAATTAATGTACCATTTCTTAGTTTTAGAATATGTACATTCGTTTTCTTTTGGAATTCACACTTTCGTCTCAGTTCTTGTTCATCGTTCTCCATTGATCCATTAATTAAAGGAGCAAAAAAAAACATAAAAGAAATGTTTATCATGTTTTCATTTTACTTGAAAAGAAAAAACTGCCTCCTTCATGGAACTCGATAGTTATGATAGAGGCTGGAACATTTGTACCATTATCTAAAAAAATGGAACTCGATAGCTACATTCTTATACAGTGCTAGTTATCATCCATGACTGAGTTGGTAGCAATTGTGCCATTTCAGAGGTGAAGAAACATGGCATCCAAATTGTAGTTGAGTTGCCCTTTCTCCAGATTTAAAATGTTAAGTAGAGGTGCAATCAAATCGTATGCCATTGAGCATCGCTGAACCATACTTGATTTCACATTTTCTGTCATAATCAGATATATAGATAATATCAGATACAGATATGGCCACATATGGTCTACATTACAAATGTAAATAAATAAATAATTACGTATCAAATATGGGACGAGCAATGCCTATTTGAAATATTTTTCACACACAGAGTAAAAGCAACAACTATATCAAGGTTCACAATTTCACAAGTTTCACAAATTTCGGTAATTTCGAAAGTGGCTGAAAGAAAATCTGAAATTTAGCATTACACCAATGCATGTGCTATATAACTCTAGACTCATATTTTCTATTGTTTATATTGCGTATTCTTCTACCTAATAGATGCATAGTCATAAATCATGCTAATATTTTGTTTAGATTTGTTTTCTAGAAAAACATACTTCATGTCTAAGCCTCTAAAAAAATTCGGAGAAATTTTGGCCGAATTTCGGGGGTGATCGAAACTTTTCTAATTACGTCATATATTTTTTTTATGATCTGACCACTCTACAAGTCCATCCAGCAATATAAATCACAAGTTGCATAGATATAAATAGTTAGATATGTATAAATGCTTGACCACATGGCATTCTAACATATTAAAAAGAAAAAAATTATAGATGGTCGCAAAGAGGCATAGTAATCAATCAACTAGTCAAATTTAAACTTTTATGATGTTCTTGTACTTAAAACCTGTGCTTAAATTTTATTCAAGCCCCTAAATTTTTTTCTCAAAATTGAAACTTCAGTTAAATAAGTTACATTAACTTGACTATTTGCATATTTTGTTTTACTTCAAAGTTATAAGGAATGCTTAAGTAAATTGAAAAATTAAAGTTTGTTGGTATCTCGAGTGTCGTATCTATAAAATTTTAGAGAAAAATAAGAAAGTCCACTTCAGTCACCGAGCTGAAAATTGCCTGGGCCTGCAGAACACGTCTCGTTGATGTCTAATGCAACTATTCGAATTCAATACCCAACCTAACTATTCAAATTATCGGGTATCAAATACATGATGGTACTGCCCCTCCTTATATTCAAATATGGAACATCTGGAAAAAATATTCAAATATGGTACTAAAAAACTATAAAAAAAATTTAGTTCCAAATTATTTATTTTTCTAGAGCTCGCATATGGAGATTGACGAAACCATCACATACAGCTCGTTGTCAACAACATATCGCTTATCAGTAAAAAATAACATCATTAAATCTCGAAATAAATAAAACAATGAACACTCATGCCGAATCAATGGCTTAAACCTGTACTTACCTACAAGTACCCAACTTTGGCGCTACCATCATATTTAATTATTTATTGACTTCGCCAAGAGAGATTCTATGACCGGCAACACAACGCATTGATGTGAGCGACGCGAGTGTCAAATTCCTCTCTTACCACGCCTTTGCTGATGTATGCTGATCTTCCTTGGTCCGTCAAGTCAACAAGCAGCCAGATTGCAACGTGACCCGGGCGGGCGGATGCATTGAACGCATGGCGCATCTCATGATCCTCGTGTTCGCTTTTTTTTGTCCATGCCGTTTGCAGTGTCAAGTTTAACAGGCCGAACCAAGCGACGACAAATGATAAATCGGTTGGCCAGTTGGGCACTCCTTCGTTCGATCAATTAGTTCAGTTTATATAAGCGTGCCCGTGTTGCTACCGAATAGCTAACATTTTATATAAAAATATACGGACCGCACGACAAGATAATAATATTGTAAAAATTAAATGACAACGTTAAAGTAACATTTAATCAAAAAGCAAAGTTTATGAATTTAACATAGTCACGAGAGTGCGCGCGCGTCAGATCTCACAAACTCTACTTTATAGATCTTTCCATGATGTGGCTAAGATAATGTTTTATATTGGCGGGAAGAAATCTCCGATATCCATTTCTTTCGTGCTCACAAACTAATGACCCTGGTGCAACAAAGGAAAATACAAAGGAGCTATCCTCCTGAATGCAGCGGAACCAACGTCACTCTGATCGTGCCATCCCACGACCACTGGTATGGTGTTGTTTAGCACTATTGTTCATTGTTATCGCTAACTTGCTTCGTTGGTTTTATTCAAGTAATTTATGTTTCTAATTATGCTGGTGCTAATTCGGTTGATCCCACATTGGCATATGAGAAAAGTGGAAAAAGTTGATAAAACTCATGGTTTTGAGAACATACACGTGTAATAGTTATGAACGGTTACAAAACGAAATATTATGAACAAAACACTCAACCACGAGGCAGAGCAACGTAGGAGATTAGGACGTGCGAACTGACGTAGCAATGATTGTCGCACGAAACGGTGGCCTTACTTTTTTTCTTTTTAGTTGTAGGAGAATATGAGTGGTAGCCATAAGAAAGTTTTTGAAGGTATAATGCGCATCACTTATTGTCATTGACTTATTGCACATATGGCTACTATGCTTATACATAAAGGATTTGTTTGGTACCCTGATCTGACTTGGAGCACAAATATTTTAAAGCGTGGAGATAAACATGTAGTGTACACAAGAGTGAACGTTTAAAAGTCCACAAACATGTTGCCATGTCCTGTTGGTGCACTGAATATAGCCTCGTTCATGTTGCAAAATGATGAGCCGTTTTTGTTCATCCATATCTGTAGCATTAGGAACAGGGTCATTTTGATATTATTATTCATATTTGAAGCATTAGAAAGAGAGCTATTTTCGTATTGCTGCCAAATATGCATACTTGTTAACAGGCAAAGAAGCTGTTTACTATGGCACTGTGTAAGCAGAGTCAAAGAAGAAGAAAAACAATAAGTGATAATGTAGGAAATATGAGTGGGCCTTTGGTTACTTCTGCTGCTGGTTGGATATGGTGTTTAGGTTCTACGCTCGTGGCTCTGCAAATGATGTATGACACGATGAAACCTATAGGTAAAAAAAATTCCTTTTGGCTATGGATCTGTAAATGATATGTAAAATTAAGAACCTCCACATAGAAGTAAACATGTTTCTTTGTGTATATGTTGTGTATTATAACATTTGAGGATCTTACTTCTTCATGGGGGATTCTGTGAAGGAGGCATGGTTTTTTTGGGGCGCGGTTTGGATAGCCTTTGTTGTATATGTTTTTTCAGCGCTTCTTTTGTCCTGCATAGTTGAAATAGGATATTAAGATTAAGTGCAGACCATATAAAGACACGGAAAAGGAGAAGGAAAAAACTCTGAAGCGATCACATCTAAATAGGCACATTATTGTTGGACAGTAAATGTGCTGAACTTTGAAAAAAAATCAGTGTGGGAGTTGATTGGATTACCTGTTCACTGTTAGATATGATAAGTACTACCATTTGCACTGTCCTGTAAATATAGGAAACATGGTTTTCTAAATGGTTAGCTTTCTGAAGGCATTCCACATAGATTCGTTGTATGTATGGGGCTATCAGTGGTTCTCTTTAACAATATGTGGTTGCCAAATAGAAGCTATTTAGTTTTTTGTGCACAGATCGAATCATTAACAATCTGTCTTAACACGAAATTGTAGACAGTCTGTACCAAAATTCCAACAAAATCGATTGTATCGTTGATAGAAATCATTTGGCTGGTTTTTTTGCAAAATGACCTTAACCATCTCTTATGCCAAGTACAGTTGCTGGAGTAGCTGCAATCTGTCTGGTTGTTTCAGCAACAGAAGCTTTGCAGTGGAAGGAATTTAGCAAATAAATTGTGCCACAAAGTAAAAACACAAAGGAATTAACAAAATAGGCCTCACTCATACCAATATTCATAAGAGTTTGGTAACCCTCTTTTTCGCTACCTAGGTAGTGAGTGACCTGTAAGGAGATAAAGCAGGACAACAAAAAATCATACCACCCAATAGCAAGCATTGCAGCAAGTTCTTCGACCTTGTCTGAATGCTCATTCATTGTTGCCTTTGAAAATCTTAACCTACGGGAATTGACGAACTAACAAATATTTAGATGTTGCAGGCATAAGTGACGACAAAATAACCGATGTAAGAATTACTATTCTATATTAGCAAAAAGACTATTGCTACTATTCTGAATAAACAGGTGAAGGGAATGATAGAAAGTTTGGTGATCCAGAGTATGCTATCTATTACATGACATAAATCAAAATGTGCAGTCATTTATGAAAATAAGCCTAGCGTTTCGGTAAGCAGCACATTGGAAGTCTAAAGTTGGGATATTTTGTTGTGTTCATGAGGAAACAAATGTGACACTGCAAGAGTTCAAATCCAATCTTCCTTTTTTGAACTGACTGATTAACATACGGATAGTTTGCAATAATGTGTAGTAGGATGGGTCATGTCTGAGACAGTTGACAGGTCACAATAGGTATGAATCAGTGAACTAATATGGTGGTTTTGCTCTGCATAGTTGAACTCTAGAAAGATCTACTATAGGCGGTTTTACCTTACTCTACGTCTTCATGAAGGCACTGCATAGGTCTCTAAAATTGAATCTTAGATATGGCATTTGTTAAACTATCACAGTCACATTTGTATCAAACACATCAAGTTGATGAAGGGAAATGGAAAGGCCGCTGTAACCTTGACCTGAAACTTTTTTTTTGTACCGAAAGAAACATAGAAAATTCGGAACATAACTGTCCCACAAACAAATATAGCATTAACACTGATTACATGAAGGTAAGTGCATATCGACAGGCTGTAGGGTCTGTCATGGGCAGAATGATGTATATATATTAATTATTGGTTCAGAAGATAGTATGTCGAGCTGTCTCGCTAAAAAAAGGAACTGAATTGTGCAGAGTGACTAAAGAGGTAAAATACGAAGATAGACAAAGAAGTAATTGTCCTCCTGATGCCTGCAAGTAGTATGAAGGCAACAAATTTGAAAACTGAGACAGAAATACCAAACATATATTTGAGTTTGGTTACTGCCATTTCCTATGATATATAACTATCATACGAACACCATGGGAGATGATTTATGTCATGACAAACAGAACGAACCCGTGACGGGTTCCCAACCCATAGCTCTTACGGAATTCAACAATTATTTTGTCAGCAGTTTCACACGCACTTCTAATCATGTCTATTCTAACCTCGAAGGAACGATGCCAGGTTCATTATAATTATAGATAGCTGAGAAATGAAGCTGGCAACACATGCTATATGTTTTCATTCTTCATACTAAATTGGTCACCTTTAATTTTTGAAACTGTGTAGGCACCGGTAGATTAGTTATTCCAGTCAAGAGTCACTCCCTCTTCGTAGTTTCGTCAACTTCCATCTCAGCGAGCAGTTTTGACGACAACAATACAGGTAGTACTGCAACATTCATACTAAGTTGATAAGGATCATGTTGCAACGTTAATAGCAAATAACTATACAAACCATTGAAAGCATGCCAAAATGGGTATACTAAATTGCAATGGACAACAAACGATTAGAGCGACCATTTCTATATTCTAATATATTTTTTTGTTGGGGCCTTTCCATTGCATTTACTTATGTCAGAAAAACCTGCCGGGAAATTAAATGGAACAAAATTGAGTTAGTAAAAAAGGAAAAGCACGCCTAAAAGTAAAGTTGATAAATCAAGGCACGATTGAGAACCAAGAGGAGCACCTGACATAGCATCATTTCGTTCCCCATCCACACCTCGATTAAGAACCAAGAGGAGCACCTGACATGGCATCATTTCATTCCCCATCCACACCTCTGCTGGACCCATGCCCAGCTTCAACTTCAAGTTCTGGACCCATGCCGCTGTCCATGAGCACACATAGTTCAGATACATCAATTCAACCAAGAAATTGGCAAAAAAAATTGTGGGGAAATTTTCCAAATGAATCCCCAAAGCAAGGCGAGGACAATAGGCCACCGACTACAGCAAGCAGGCTGGAGGGCACCGCACGCGTGTCGCCTGCACTGTTCTTGTCGTCCGCTGATGCCTCCTCATGGCGACCAAGCGCGCATAGCGCACCGGCGGACAGGGCCAAGAACAAGCGTGGCAGCGCAGCCACAGCAGCACCACATGCTATAGGCCAGCCACGGCAGCAGAGATGTATGTTTGTCAGAACCCGCACGCTATAAATCAACGCGCATCCACGAGGGGAGAAGAGAAGGGGTGACATACCGCTAGATCGAGATGACGAGCCGAGACGACAGCCGCTGCGGCCGTTAGCAGCGACGAAGGAGCAGCTAGGGTTTCGCCGAGCACGCGCGGACCGGGCGGGAGGAGGCAGCGAGGGGGAGGAGGAGGAGGAGGCGGACCGGGGGCACGCGCGGCGCGACAAGGGCGTGAGGGGAGGAGGTGGAGGCGGAGGGAGCGCGTGATGCGGTATCACAAGGGGAGGGGGACCGGCGAGGCGACGACGATTGTCTCACCGCCGCCATCGACCGGCCGGCCGCGGCCATGCTCGGCCGGGCGAAAGCAAAAACACCAACAAAAGCCTCCTTCTCGGTGCCTTCTCTCTCTTTGCCTTGCTCGCTTCATGCTAACGGCCCACGCCTCGTCGCATCAACGCCACCGTCTGTTTGTCCCGTCGTCCACGGCAATGCTCGCCGCTTTCGGACACTTTGTGCATCCCACATTGGTCCTCCCAGTATATCTGTCTGCGAGCCCTCGACTCGAAAGTGCCCGACCTACACTACACTTGCGCTTCCGCCGCACCACCGAAAGGGTCGTCGACCGAGCATTGCGACGCACCAGCACTAAGGCGCCACCGACGTGTCGTCATTGTCATGGCCGAAATTTGGCCCTCCCATGGCAGCGCCAGCCAGGCGGGTCGGCGGTGGCGCCATGACGGCCGGCGCGCCATCACCGTGGCGATGCCATCGTCATCTTTGTGGCCATCTCCATCGGATTCAAACCTAGGGGGGCATGGTGTTTGCGAAGATTTAGGATTCAAATATTGGGGGCCAAGGTATCAGCAAAGATTTTTTTTTAGAGACTCATAGCCAACAATCTTTAATAGAGTTAGAACTTAGCCATGTCAAATAGAAACAATAAGAGTGAAAAAATATGACAGCAAATAATAATAAAGGCAAATGAGCTACATATCTATTCCAGAAAGTACATTCATCTAATGAAGAAAAAAATTAAGGTACAGAAGTCTACAAGCAACTGTATATCCATTTAGGGGGTGTTTGGTTCCTTAGACCAGATTTTAGTCCCTGTCCTATCGAATGGTTGGACACATGCAAGGAGTATTAAATATAGATTAAAAAAATAACTAATTACACATATTGCGACTAATTTGCGAGACGAATTTTTTAAGCCTAGTTAGTCCATTATTTGATAGTGTGGTGCTACAGTAAATATGTGCTAATGATGGATTAATTAGGCTTAATAGATTCATCTCGTAAATTAGTCTACTCTTGTGTAATTAGTTTTTTAATTAGCTCATATTTAGTCCTCCTAGTTAGCATCCGAACGTCCGATGTGACACGGACTAAACTTTAGCCCCTGGATCCAAACACCCCCTTAGTAGATCAATTCATAGCGTTTGTGCTAAATATAGGTAGACATGCATATGGACAAGGGAGCTGAAGGAAAGCCACACGATTACCACCAAGGCACCCATGCAGACTATACTGGAGGGGCAAACTGCATGCACTAATTACCATCATTAGCTGCTAAACATGAGATTATATGGCAGTATACGGTAGACCAAACAGGATATTGGGGGGTGCCTGGCCGACGCCCCCCTCCTTTTTTCTCCATCCGCAACTGCCTGCAGTACCGCTTCGACGCGTGGGACGGCGAAAGCCACGGCGCCCTGCCGCGACCTATTCAGCAAGATGAAAAGTTATCCATCTCCCAAAAATAAAAATAAAAAAATGAAATGAGTACTCAGCTCTCTCTCTCTCTCTTTAAAAAAAAATCTATGTGTTGGGCTCTATTTGGAGTTATTCGTATTTTATTTATCCTTAGTCCTAGTGTATTAATGTTTGTAGTCATGTTCGTTACTTATCTAAATTATCATATTGGTACTATATTAAACATGGGATTGACCAAGAGAATCCTTAGCAAACTACGTTTAAACGAGAATTTACAGATGGCACCAATCTTGCAGGTGCTATGCTCTACTACATGTAGATCATATTTGTGCATTGCAACTAGTATTGACATTGCTAGCCCTCCAAAATAATTTAGTTAATTTGTCTGCAACATATTTGGTACTCAATTTGGAGTATGGATTCTCTTGGTCGATATCTTAATTTAGTACAACACAAAATGATGACTTAAATAAATATCCGAAGAACTCTAAATCTAGGAACAACAGAGACTTCTTTGTTAAAATATTTTGGTACTAGTTTCATGTTTGTCTCAATTCCAAAATGAATTAGTTATGAATTCTTAATAAATAAACCAAAGTTTTATTTTTTGAAAAATACAAAACCACATTTGAAGTAAGCTAGAACACAAAGTTTAGAGTTACATGGACAAAAACATACTCAATAAGAATAAGAATTGTATAGAAAAAATAGAGTTCTCCTTTGTACTGACCATTGATTTAGGGATTGGACTATTGGTGTGATTGCTTCGGCAAGACGGCAACCTCTGTTGGCGTACCCACCGGACCAATCAGAACAACCACCAAATGTGTAGGGCGCACCCAAGAATATACCCTAGGCCACTCCTTATCGTGCTACTCCCCATACCCATCCAGGTCCTAAGAGCCTGCTCGCAGGACAGGTTGTGTTCGTTGGAGTTTGGACCTTTGTTTTGGTTGATTCAGGGACAGTCACACACATGCCAGGATCAATCAATCAAACCGGGTGCCCAGTGCATGCTGCTGCTCGACACCGGCAGCGGCAGCGCGAGCGTCAGCAAGCGTAAACCACGTCCATGGCCTTGCCCGCCCTCGCGTGCCAAAACCAGCAGCCTGGCCGCCAAGCGCGTCATCTTCTTGGTTTCTTCTCCTCTTCGCCCCACTCCCCGTCCCATACGCATCTATGCGTCTTCACTCTTCAACCTGGACCTCTCTGTCTCCCCTTCGTCAGTCAGTCTTCGTCTTCTTCTCCGGCTCCATCACGTGTACACTTCCTACTCCCTCCTTGTATACATATACTCGGCGATCCAAGGAGTTTCTCGCTCCAGCAACACACACGTACTACGCCAGCCTCGCGCCCTCTGCCCCTCTCCCACGCCATGGCGTTCGGCAACATCCTCACCATTGCCGGTATCCTCCTGCTATTTATTGTGATCTTCGCCTTTGGGGTCGTCTCCCAGCAGTGCTGCTTCAACGCGTGCCACTGCCGCAGTGCCCAGCAGGCGGCGGCGGCGGCGTCGCAGAGCGCGCTGTGGGGCCGTGGTGGCGGGACGACGGCGGTCGGAGGTGGTGACCCGGAGCTGCTGCTGCTGCGCTCGCTGCCGCCACGGTGTACCGCGCCCGCGCCAGCGCCAGCGTTCGAACAAGGAGTGAGGACGCTGTGGAGTGCGTGGTGTGCCTCGCGGAGCTCGAGGACGGGGAAGTGGCCCGGTTCTTGCCGTGCTGCAACCGTGGATTCCGCGCCCAGTGCGTCGACACGTGGCTAGCATCCCAATCCACCTGCCCGCTCTGCCAGATCAACGTCGTCGCTATTGCTAGGCCCGGCATGGCGCCGGTGCCCGCAACAGCTACGAAGGAGGAGAGGAGAGAAACCGGGCTCCCTGCCTCGCCCGGCAGAGGAGCGCACGGTTCGCCCTCCTGGTCAGAGCTGGAGGGGTCGGGAGGAGACGCGGCCAGGCCGGAGGTAGTGCATCCGTCGGCGGGCCGTGGAGTCTAGGTGGTGGAGATCCCCTTCTCTGGCGAAGAAGATACCAGGGTGGATCCGCCGCCATCCTGCTGCCCCGGGAGCTGATGATGATCCGGTCGTCGCGCATGATACTGCGATGGCTAGATCTTCCAGCCGGTCGGAGGTGACCAGCGAGTTGGTGTGGCCTTGCCCGGTGAGCCGGGAAAGGCCCGGTTAAATCGCCGTGATGAGGAGGAGGCAAAGCTCTGGCACCTGCTTGGGGTGAGAGGACTATCGATGGAGTCCGATCTCGCCCTTTCCAAGGCGAGGCTTAAGGAGGCCTTGGAGAGGGTTGAGCTCGTCCATCGTGCCATGACGATCGACCCGCCACGCAGCGCTGCGAAGGTAAGTTCTCTGCGTTTTTTGTGTTGTCCCTGACTTCTTGGCCTTTTAATGGTTGTCTCAGCATTCCTGCTTCTTGCCTTACAGGATCTGGAGATGATGTCGATCCGTAAGTCCCGATTTCTTCGGGAGGAGCACGGTCGGATGGAGGAGGAAATAACGGCATCGCGGCGGGTCGACGAGCTCAGGCACCAGCTGGAGTCCGCCCGCCGTGAGTCCCAAGACCGGGCGGCCGAGACGACGGGAGCACGGGCGACGGAACTGCTTGCAGTTGAGCGAAGCGATTCTTTGCCGGCGGGAACTAGACGCAGCGAAGGTCCACTTGGTGGAGACTGAGGCGGTGCTACAGAAGTCCTTGGAGATTCTGGTGGCGGAGCGGAAGGCCCGGTCGAACGCCGAACAAGAAGTGGTTGCGCTCCGGGGGTAGATGCTCGGGGTAGAGGAGTCGAACGCTCGACTGCTCGAGAGGGTGACCCGACAAGAGGAACGGCTCTCCATTCTCGAAAGTGCCCGCCTTGGTACGTACCTATTTTGCCCCCGGTTGATGCCTTGATTTTTCCTTTCATTTGCTTCTGAATTTGTTGTCTTTTTCTAGAACTGGGTGGAAAGATCGGCTCTCTGGAGCAGGAGCTTTAGACGGTCAAAGCAGCGGTCGGTCGGGGCGTGGAGGCGCTAGCCCAGTCCCTTGAGGAGCGACGCGCTCTCTAGGGGGAGCTCGACCAGATTCGCAACATCGCGTAGGTGGTCGGCTCCGAGGTGTTCGGGTCGGGACCGAGCACTAGTACACCCGTCGTCCAGCTGGCGGAGGTCCCGAATAAAGTTCGGGCGCTCATCTCCGACGGCATGTTCTACGGGACGTCTGGGGTGCTGACCTCAGTGGTGACCCATCACCCTGATCTGGACTTCGCGGCCATCTATAGAGGATACGCCGATGGGTGGAGCATAGATGAAATCCATGTGCTGGGGAAGAGTTTCGTGCCATGTGCACAGATGGTCGCCGAGCAGGTCACCGCGCAGTGGATGATGGAGGCTCGCCGTTCGAGCATGGCTAAAGACGTGTGCCAGGAAGATATCATCCAGCCTATGGAAGGAGTGGAGACCGGGTTGGAGGCGAGCGTCGTCCCACCCCCAACAGAGCCGAACGTCGTTCCGACAGAAAGCGAGCTGCCTTTGTCCTCGTCGACCGCACCGTCAGCCGATGCCGTTGGGCAGTCATAATAGAGTTTAGAGTAGAAATAGTTAGTTTATGTAAAAGACAAGTTCGTGGGAAAGTCCCTGTGTGAACAATTTTACATTCGTGAATATTTTAAGTTTGTTTTGTGATGAAATCACTCGTGAGGGGAAGCTTGTCCCATCCACCCTTGTTTTTACCCTTGCATAGCTTAGTTTATTGTCCTTTCCTTTTCGCACCTGCCCATTGACTTGTAGGCTGCAACCTTAAGAACCCGAGCGTGGCCCGTGAGGCTTAGCTGCTCGTAACCATAGGTCATGGCGGGGTGTGATCGGTCGGGAGGTTAAAACATAAGTTACTTAGGGTAATCAAATGAACGGAATGCCCTTTCATTTGGGCGACGCCCTTTCATTTGGGCAAAAAGTATTACTATATGATAATAAAAAAGGAGGGTGGTATCACACCCTCGTGGAGCCCCCGAGCGACCCAGGCCGAGAGTGCTCGGGTTAGGGTGCTGTAGGAGCAAACGTTTGAATGGAAAGAAAAATGGTAAGACCGAGTTTTACGGGAAGAAGCAACATAACTGTTTGATGTTCCATGTGTTGGTGAGAACGTTGCTATTGTCATCCTTCAGCTGGTAGGTGCCTGGCCGGATCACCTCGGTCACCGTGTAGGGTCCTTCCCATGGTGGAGAGAGTTTATGTTTCTCTTTGGTTGACTGGGTCCTTCGGAGTACAAGGTCACCGACCTCGAGGATCCTCCCCCTAATTTTTCTTTCGTGGTACCTGCGGAGAGTTTGCTGGTAATGAGCGGAGCGGATGACAGTCGTCTCACGAGCCTCCTCGAGCAGGTCGACCGCATCCTCGGGGCGCCATGATCGAGGTCAGAGGGCAACACCACTTCAGCTCCGTATAAGAGGAAGAAAGGGGTGAACCCTGTGGACCGGTTTGGGGTTATTCTTAGGCTCCAGAGGATCGCTAGGACCTCTGCAACCCATCGTCCGGCATACTTTTTGAGTCGGTCGAAGATGCGGGGCTTGAGTCCTTGGAGGACCATGCCATTGGCCCGCTCGACCTGACCATTGGTACGCAGGTGTCTGACTGAGGCCCAATCGATCCTTATGCCATATCCATCACATAAGTCCAGGAACTTCTTCCCAGTGAAGTTTGTTCCATGGTCGGTGATGATACAGTTTGGAACGCCAAACCAATAGATGATGTCGAGAAAGAATATGACCGCCTCTTCCAAGTGGATTTTGGTGATGGGCTTCGCCTCTATCCACTTGGTGAATTTGTCCACCGCTACGAGCAGGTGGGTGAAGCCGTCCGGGGCCTTTTTGAGGGGTCCGACCATGTCGAGGCCCCAGACCGCGAATGGCCAAGTGATGGGGATGGTCTGAAGCTCTTGTGTTGGTAGATGAGTTTGCCGAGCATAGAACTGGCATCCTTCACACCTGCGGACAACCTCCTCTGCATCTCGCAGCGCAGTGGGCCAGTAAAAATCTTGGCGAAAGGTTTTCTTGACCAGCGACCTTGGGGCCACGTGATGTCCGCAGATTCCGGCATGGACCTCGAGGAGGAGCTGTTTCCCTTGGTCGGTCGGGATGCACTTCATGAGTACTCCCGACGGACTTTGCTTGTAAAGTTCATCACCGAGGGCGACGAATGTCTTGACGCGTCGAGCGATTCATAGCGCTTCAGTCCTTTCCGGTGGGAGAACCTCCTCAAGGAGGTAGGCGAGTAGTGGTGCTCTCCAGTTAGCCTGATCGAGTGCCACCACAGCGACGTCGGCAGGCGACGTTGTCATGGAGGTGGCAAGGTCAGAGCCCCCGAGCACTTGGTCGGGGTCGGGGCACGTCGGGAGGTCGGAGCCCCTAGGTGCCAGATTGGTGTCGGAGTGTCTCTAGATCGAATCCTCCAGAATGTGGGTAGACGGCTCATGGAGATCGTTGATGAAGACCCCTTCTAGAGACAGAACCCGCTTGACAGCCAATTTTGCGAGGAAATCGGCGGTATCGTTGTCCTTTCGGGGGACATGATGTAGTTCGATCCCTTGAAACTTGCCCTCGAGCTTGCGCACCTCCTGGCAATATGCTGCCATGAGAGGGCTCTTGCAGGAGGACACCTTCATGACTTGATCGATGACCAACTCCGAGTCATTGCGGACATACAGCCGTGTAGCACCGAGCTCGACGGCGATGCGGAGTCCGTTGATGAGGGCCTTGTACTCCGCGGCGTTGTTGAGGCCAAAAAATGAAGATGAATCACGTAGCGGAGCCTACTCCCATCCGAGAAGATCAGAACCACTCCAGCCCCCGAGCCGGGCGCCATTACCAACCCGTTGAAGTACATTGTCCAGTACTCGTGGGTGACGTCCAGGGTCGGGAGCTGGACTTTCGTCCATTCGGCGATGAAGTCAACAAGAGCCTGAGACTTGATAGCAGTGCGAGGAATATACCTGATGTCATGACCCATGAGCTCGAGAACCCACTTGGAGATTCATCCCGCTTCATTGTGGTTGTGGATGATGTCTCCCAACGGGTACTAGGTAACGACCATGACCTCGTGGTCAGTGAAGTAGTGCAGGAGCTTTCGGGTCGCCATCAGCACGGCGTACAGAAGCTTCTGCACCTGGGGGTATCGAGCCTTGGCGTCGGTGAGGTTGAACCTTCAGGGGGTGTCCTGGCTCCTCCCTTTCGACAACAAGGGTGGCACTCACAATGTGGTTGTTTGCCGCAATGTAAAGGAGGAGGGGTTCTCCCTGTTCAGGAGCAACGAGGACTGGGGCTGACGTCAGTGTTGCTTTGAGGCTTTCCAAGGCCCGTTGTGTATCTTCTGTCCAGACAAATGCGTCTGTCTTTTTGAGAAGTTTATAGAGAGGCATCCCCCGTTCCCCTAGTCGGGAGATGAACCGGCTTAGGGCGGCCAAATAGCCAGTGAGCCTATGTATGCCCTTGACGTTGCGTATAGGGCCTATGTTGGAGATGGCCAAGATTTTTTTGGGGTTGGCTTCGATGCCGCGCTCGGACATGATGTATCCGACCGCCACTGAAGACCGCCCCGACCGCCTCCTCCCCGGAGGCGTGGTTCATGGCGATGTCGAGCAGGTCACGGGTGGTACGGGGCTTCAGACAACCGAGCTTGTGGATCAAGGACTCACAGGTTGTCCCAGAGAGGAACGTGCTGATGATGTCCACGTCAACGACATCAGGAAGGGAGTTGCACCGTTTTGAGAACCTACGGATGTAATCCCGTAGGGACTCGTTGGGCTTCTACTGGCAGCTCTTGAGGTCCCAGGAATTCCCAGGACAGACATATGTCCCCTAGAAATTCCTGATGAAGACCCTCTTGAGATCCGCCCAGTCACGGATGCTGTCGGGCGGGAGGAATTTGAGCCATGCTCGAACATGCTCCCCCACACAGATGGGGAGGTATTGAATGATGAAGTGATCATGATACACCCCTCTGGCTCAGCAGGCGAGCCGAAAGTCTTCGAGCCATATATCGGGGTTCGTCTCCCCAGTGTATCTGGCTATGTTGGTGGGTGGTCAGAAGCGCTGTGGGACGGCGCTCTCTGGATGCGACGACCAAAGGCCCATGGCCCTAGGCCATCCGGGCTAGGGCTCCGATCGTTTGGTCGGCCGCCATGCCTGGGATGCGTGTCCCCATACTCCCTGATGGTTAGGCCGGGGCCCATGCTGCCTGCTCTCGTTGCCACTTGATGGACGTCATCATCGCGCCGGGCAAGGTGCTGATTGTTGATGACGCTGTGAGCTTCAAGACTCGGCCCGAGCCATTCGCGCACAGGTGGTCGGTGTGGAGCGGGTGGTAGGTCGGGCTGTGGTGCAGTCGCGGCCTCCTGCCCCACGCCTGACATTGTAGCGGTGAGTGGACGGAGCGATTGGACTGGTGCGGCCCCATTCCCTTGGTGGGGCAAGAGGCCACGAGCCGTGTCGCAGCGCGGAGCTCTCCGCCTGTTGAACGGCGGCGGTCTCCACCAGCGCCCGAAGGTTCTGGTGGATTGCTTGCTCCTGGGGGTCGGCCAGCTCGGGGAGGCCACGCAGAAGCATCGCCGCAGCAGCGATGTTCTGGCCAGCTCGAGTGAACTAAGGGGGGTCATTCCCTCCATCTAGGATGTTGCGCTGGACCTGACGGGCGTGACCTCGGGCGCCGCTCGCTGGGTTACGCACGCATGGCGCAGCGTGCTGCGCCGAGCGCGCCAGCACAGGTGGCGGCTGGCTCTGTCGCCTTTGTCGTAACTCCTAGTCGTGCTTCTACGCACGCGCGAGGGCCTCCGCACGAGGGTCCGGAGGGGTTTGAGTCTGTAGAGACTCTGCTACCACAGATGGCTGTCCCGGAGCGTCCACCATAGCGCACTCCTAGGACAGAGGGTGGCCAGGTGCCATAACATCGCCGATGCTGGAGCCGTCGCTTTCGACCTCGTCATCCACGAGGTCATAAAAGGAGGTGGGAGCGTAGCCCGCCATCCCCACGAATTTGGATGTGAGAGGGGGCGGCATCAGCATCCTTCGGTGCCCCCGTGCGTACGTGTCCGCAGGGGACACGAAGCCGTAGGGGAACCGGTCGCACGGCGGTCACGGTGGGGACAATGGGGTCCCTCTGGAGAGTCGGCGGAAAGTGTTAAATAGTGAATAACGAACAAAATGTATGTTACTCACCGTGGAGTTTGAGCCCAGCATGGGCTCGAGGTGAAGCGCGGGTGTCTCGACACTGAGGTCGTCGAGTGGCCCGTGGCCAGCAGAGGGCGCTCCTCCTCCAGTGGGCGTCAGGACAAGTGTCTCCTTGTGAAAGTGAAGTACGCCGAACCGGTCGGTGATGAAGTCCAGACTTCCAAAGAGGAAGGTCTGGAATGGCTTGAAGACAGGAGGAACCCACATCCCAACAGGTGGGAGCATGCGAAACTCTAGCGAGCCAAAGCAAATCGTATCGCTTGAGCCCGTCATGCCGAAGATGGTGGAAAGATGGGCCATCCGATGACCAAAAGCGTGAACGCACGGCGTCCTCCCCACGAACGGTGCCAACTATCGATGCGAAAAGTGACCAACAAGTAAATATTTGTAGTTTTACCGTGCGTTGTGATCGGATGTGGCCTAGCACTCAATCACACAGGATTTATACTGGTTCAGGCAACGTGCCCTACATCCAGTTTTAGTCGGTCGGTGACTTTATTCCTAAGCCCAGGTGCTCGAAGTTTGTTGTGGGGTTACAAACGAGTAGGAATAAGAAGGGGGTGTTAGAGGCTCGGTCGGACTCTGAACCGAAGAGCCGAGAGTGACGGGGCTCTAACGTGCGCTAAGTATTGGAGTGTATGCTCTGTGTAACTGTTGAGTTCTAGAGCTGTGGAGCTATTCGAATGCTCAAGTTCTCTAGAGCCAGATCCAGAGAGAGCCAAAGAGAACCTTTTTCAGAGAGGAGAGAGCGCATCTCCTTTTGTACTTGAAGGGGGTGGCCTTACAAGTCAGAGAAAGAGAGAATGGATACGTGTGCGACCTAGTCTTGTTGCCCACGCTATTGGGTATGAGACGATCGTCGACGCCCGCAATACTATTCATGCCCAGATGCATGTGGCCAGCTTTACCGTGTTCGACTGGTATGGCAAATGTCGGCGCCTACAATACTGTTTTTGTTCTGACACGCCTAGAAGGTTGCATAGCGCCTATCTAGCATGGCCTGGCAGCACCGTCTTGCAGGTGCGCAGGGTATGACAGGGTACGGTCCTCGGTATTACGGTTTGACTTGAGCGCATTACCTTATCTGCTCCGCCTGATCCCCGGGCCTTTACCGAGAGGGCGTCCCCGGTCGGTTGTTCCCGGTCAGCCCCGACCGTGTCGGTCGGGGAAGAGGTGCAAGCAGAGGTTCGGTGTATTCCCGGTTGGAAAAGGAAGTCGGAGTCGGACGATGTCTCCACCTTGGCCAGGCCTTCCGGTCGGGGACCGGATCGTTCTCCCGGACTGTCGTTAGGTATCTGGGCCGGCCCGGGAGGCGCGCGTTGTCGCTACGCCGTCTGCTGGGCCGAGCTTTTGCTGAGAAGCGGCCCCATTGAGGACCCCGGGTTTATGAACCTGACACTATCCATATCTTTGCTAACTTTTTGATCTTACTAAAACCATAGTAGTAGAGTGGAATATAGGGACCTTAGTACTTACTCGATGTCCTTCCAAGTTAGCTATGCCTTCTATCCTTTATTGCTTAGGAACTTCTGTGTGTCACACTACTCTTTTATCTATCTTTACCCCACTAGACTTTGGCATATTAATTATGGAATAATCAATGACAAGTTATTATCAAACACTCATAGCCATCGCTTTCCCTAGGAATTTAAATATGACACTTTGGAATACTTTTAGGTGAAATGCTACAACGATGCTTGCAGAATCAACTACTTCAACATAAGAAATACCAACACTGATCGCTTAGGAACTTCTGTGTGTCACACTACTCTTTTATCTATCTTTACCCTGCTAGACTTTGGCATATTATTTATGGTATAATCAAGGACAAGTTATTATCAAACACTCTTAGCCATCGCTTTCCCTAGGAATTTAAATATGACACCTTGGAATACTTTTAGGTGAAGTGCTACAATGATCTTCATTGTGCTTGCAGAATTAACTACTTCAACATAAGAAATACCAACACTGACTAGTTGGCACCATGTCTGGAGCGGCCATGGCAGGAGCCATCAGCGACAGCGGGCAGGTGGCACATGAGGGATAGAGTTCCCTCACACGATACTAGACACACGGTTGCCAAGAGACACTACCCTAGCTAGTTCCTTTGATGGAGGGCGGAATAGCAAGCCCAACTGATTAATAATCAGTAGCAGGCTAGCACCCGGCCGAGTTGGAAACTTTTGAAAGTCAAGCTCGGACGAGACACAAACCAAGTGGAGTGCACCTATACTTGGCCATCGGGCCGGTGGTAGCAGCGGTGGGACACGGGCCAGCAGGGGCGTCGACCCGGAGCTGCTGCGCTCGCTGCCTGTCACGGTGTACCACGGTTCGGACAAGGGGCAGCGGTACGCGGTGGAGTGCGCCGTGTGCCTCGCCGAGCTCCGGGACGGCGAGGAGGCCCGGTTCTTGCCCCGCTGCGGCCACGGCTTCCACGCAGAGTGCGTCGACATGTGGCTCGCCTCCCACACCACCTGCCCGCTCTGCCGCCTCACCGTCTCCAAGCCCGACGACGTATCTCCTCATCTGGCGCCTTCCTTGGCTCTCCCACCGGTCCCGCCGGAGCCCACGAACTACGCCACCGTCAACCTCCCCGCCAGCGTGCTTCTCGGGGTGTCTGACCATGGCGCGGTCACTGCGGAGACTATGACCACCGACGTCCCCACGAACCCATCCACCTTGGTGATCGAGATCCCGGAGCTGGCCGTGCCGACGCCGACGCTGACCCCGTGCGACGCTGCCAAGTCACCGGGCTCGGCGAGGCTGAGATCGTTCAGGAGGCTGTGGAGCTTCGGAAGGCAAGGGGCCGGAGCGACTCCTTCCTGCTCCTGTGCCGGTGCCGGCGCCAGCGAAGGAGTCGACTTGGAGCAGGGTATCAGCTAGCCTTACCGACTTACCGTTACCATAGCACAGCAACGGAACAGGACATGCGGCCGACCGGCCAGCCGGAGAGCAGCACGAATTTCTGCGCTCTCTGCAATGGTGCACATGTATATTCAATTAATGTACCATTTCTTAGTTTTAGAATATGTACATTCGTTTTCTTTTGGAATTCACACTTTCGTCTCAGTTCTTGTTCATCGTTCTCCATTGATCCATTAATTAAAGGAGCAAAAAAAAAACATAAAAGAAATGTTTATCATGTTTTCATTTTACTTGAAAAGAAAAAACATGCCCCCTTCATGGAACTCGATAGTTATGATAGAGGCTGGAACATTTGTACCATTATCTAAAAAAATGGAACTCGATAGCTACATTCTTATACAGTGCTAGTTATCATCCATGACTGAGTTGGTAGCAATTGTGCCATTTCAGAGGTGAAGAAACATGGCATCCAAATTGTAGTTGAGTTGCCCTTTCTCCAGATTTAAAATGTTAAGTAGAGGTGCAATCAAATCGTATGCCATTGAGCATCGCTGAACCATACTTGATTTCACATTTTCTGTCATAATCAGATATATAGATAATATCAGATACAGATATGGCCACATATGGTCTACATTACAAATGTAAATAAATAAATAATTACGTATCAAATATGGGACGAGCAATGCCTATTTGAAATATTTTTTCACACACAGAGTAAAAGCAACAACTATATCAAGGTTCACAATTTCACCGAAGTTTCACAAATTTCGGTAATTTCGAAAGTGGCTGAAAGAAAAATCTGAAATTTAGCATTACACCAATGCATGTGCTATATAACTCTAGACTCATATTTTCTATTGTTTATATTGCGTATTCTTCTACCTAATAGATGCATAGTCATAAATCATGCTAATATTTTGTTTAGATTTATTTTCTAGAAAAACATACTTCATGTCTAAGCCTCTAAAAAAATTCGGAGAAATTTTGGCCGAATTTCGGGGGTGATCGAAACTTTTCTAATTACGTCATATATTTTTTTTATGATCTGACCACTCTACAAGTCCATCCAGCAATATAAATCACAAGTTGCATAGATATAAATAGTTAGATATGTATAAATGCTTGACCACATGGCATTCTAACATATTAAAAAGAAAAAAATTATAGATGGTCGCAAAGAGGCATAGTAATCAATCAACTAGTCAAATTTAAACTTTTATGATGTTCTTGTACTTAAAACCTGTGCTTAAATTTTATTCAAGCCCCTAAATTTTTTTCTCAAAATTGAAACTTCAGTTAAATAAGTTACATTAACTTGACTATTTGCATATTTTGTTTTACTTCAAAGTTATAAGGAATGCTTAAGTAAATTGAAAAATTAAAGTTTGTTGGTATCTCGAGTGTCGTATCTATAAAATTTTAGAGAAAATAAGAAAGTCCACTTCAGTCACCGAGCTGAAAATTGCCTGGGCCTGCAGAACACGTCTCGTTGATGTCTAATGCAACTATTCAATTCAATACCCAACCTAACTATTCAAATTATCGGTATCAAATACATGATGGTACTGCCCTCCTTATATTCAAATATGGAACATCTGGAAAAAATATTCAAATATGGTACTAAAAAACTATAAAAAAAATTTAGTTCCAAATTATTTATTTTTCTAGAGCTCGCATATGGAGATTGACGAAACCATCACATACAGCTCGTTGTCAACAACATATCGCTTATCAGTAAAAAATAACATCATTAAATCTCGAAATAAATAAAACAATGAACACTCATGCCGAATCAATGGCTTAAACCTGTACTTACCTACAAGTACCCAACTTTGGCGCTACCATCATATTTAATTATTTATTGACTTCGCCAAGAGAGATTCTATGACCGGCAACACAACGCATTGATGTGAGCGACGCGAGTGTCAAATTCCTCTCTTACCACGCCTTTGCTGATGTATGCTGATCTTCCTTGGTCCGTCAAGTCAACAAGCAGCCAGATTGCAACGTGACCCGGGCGGGCGGATGCATTGAACGCATGGCGCATCTCATGATCCTCGTGTTCGCTTTTTTTTGTCCATGCCGTTTGCAGTGTCAAGTTTAACAGGCCGAACCAAGCGACGACAAATGATAAATCGGTTGGCCAGTTGGGCACTCCTTCGTTCGATCAATTAGTTCAGTTTATATAAGCGTGCCCGTGTTGCTACCGAATAGCTAACATTTTATATAAAAAATATACGGACCGCACGACAAGATAATAATATTGTAAAAATTAAATGACAACGTTAAAGTAACATTTAATCAAAAAGCAAAGTTTATGAATTTAACATAGTCACGGAGTGCGCGGCGTCGCAGTCTCACAAACTCTACTTTATAGATCTTTCCATGATGTGGCTAAGATAATGTTTTATATTGGCAGGAAGAAATCTCCGATATCCATTTCTTTCGTGCTCACAAACTAATGACCCTGGTGCAACAAAGGAAAATACAAAGGAGCTATCCTCCTGAATGCGCGGAACCAACGTCACTCTGATCGTGCCATCCCACGACCACTGGTATGGTGTTGTTTAGCACTATTGTTCATTGTTATCGCTAACTTGCTTCGTTGGTTTTATTCAAGTAATTTATGTTTCTAATTATGCTGGTGCTAATTCGGTTGATCCCACATTGGCATATGAGAAAAGTGGAAAAAGTTGATAAAACTCATGGTTTTGAGAACATACACGTGTAATAGTTATGAACGGTTACAAAACGAAATATTATGAACAAAACACTCAACCACGAGGCAGAGCAACGTAGGAGATTAGGACGTGCGAACCGACGTAGCAATGATTGTCGCACGAAACGGTGGCCTTACTTTTTTTCTTTTTAGTTGTAGGAGAATATGAGTGGTAGCCATAAGAAAGTTTTTGAAGGTATAATGCGCATCACTTATTGTCATTGACTTATTGCACATATGGCTACTATGCTTATACATAAAGGATTTGTTTGGTACCCTGATCTGACTTGGAGCACAAATATTTTAAAGCGTGGAGATAAACATGTAGTGTACACAAGAGTGAACGTTTAAAAGTCCACAAACATGTTGCCATGTCCTGTTGGTGCACTGAATATAGCCTCGTTCATGTTGCAAAATGATGAGCCGTTTTTGTTCATCCATATCTGTAGCATTAGGAACAGGGTCATTTTGATATTATTATTCATATTTGAAGCATTAGAAAGAGAGCTATTTTCGTATTGCTGCCAAATATGCATACTTGTTAACAGGCAAAGAAGCTGTTTACTATGGCACTGTGTAAGCAGAGTCAAAGAAGAAGAAAAACAATAAGTGATAATGTAGGAAATATGAGTGGGCCTTTGGTTACTTCTGCTGCTGGTTGGATATGGTGTTTAGGTTCTACGCCGTGGCTCTGCAAATGATGTATGACACGATGAAACCTATAGGTAAAAAAATTCCTTTTGGCTATGGATCTGTAAATGATATGTAAAATTAAGAACCTCCACATAGAAGTAAACATGTTTCTTTGTGTATATGTTGTGTATTATAACATTTGAGGATCTTACTTCTTCATGGGGGATTCTGTGAAGGAGGCATGGTTTTTTTTTAGGCGCGGTTTGGATAGCCTTTGTTGTATATGTTTTTTCAGCGCTTCTTTTGTCCTGCATAGTTGAAATAGGATATTAAGATTAAGTGCGCACCATATAAAGACACGGAAAAGGAGAAGGAAAAAAACTCAAGCGATCACATCTAAATAGGCACATTATTGTTGGACAAAGAAATGTGCTGAACTTTGAAAAAAATCAGTGTGGGAGTTGATTGGATTACCTGTTCACCGTTAGATATGATAAGTACTACCATTTGCACTGTCCTGTAAATATAGGAAACATGGTTTTCTAAATGGTTAGCTTTACAAGGCATTCCACATAGATTCGATTGTATGTATGGGGCTATCGGTGGTTCTCTTTAACAATATGTGGTTGCCAAATAGAAGCTATTTAGTTTTTTGTGCACAGATCGAATCATTAACAATCTGTCTTAACACGAAATTGTAGACAGTCTGTACCAAAATTCCAACAAAATCGATTGTATCGTTGATAGAAATCATTTGGCTGGTTTTTTGCAAAATGACCTTAACCATCTCTTATGCCAAGTACAGTTCTTGGAGTAGCTGCAATCATGCAGTTGTTTCAACAATGAAGCTTTGCGAAAGGAAGGAATTTAGCAAATAAATTGTGCCACAAAGTAAAAACACAAAGGAATTAACAAAATAGGCCTCACTCATACCAATATTCATAAGAGTTTGGTAACCCTCTTTTTCGCTACCTAGGTAGTGAGTGACCTGTAAGGAGATAAAGCAGGACAACAAAAAATCATACCACCCAATAGCAAGCATTGCAGCAAGTTCTTCGACCTTGTCTGAATGCTCATTCATTGTTGCCTTTGAAAATCTTAACCTACGGGAATTGACGAACTAACAAATATTTAGATGTTGCAGGCATAAGTGACGACAAAATAACCGATGTAAGAATTACTATTCTATATTAGCAAAAAGACTATTGCTACTATTCTGAATAAACAGGTGAAGGGAATGATAGAAAGTTTGGTGATCCAGAGTATGCTATCTATTACATGACATAAATCAAAATGTGCAGTCATTTATGAAAATAAGCCTAGCGTTTCCGGTAAGCAGCACATTGGAAGTCTAAAGTTGGGATATTTTGTTGTGTTCATGAGGAAACAAATGTGACACTGCAAGAGTTCAAATCCAATCTTCCTTTTTTGAACTGACTGATTAACATACGGATAGTTTGCAATAATGTGTAGTAGGATGGGTCATGTCTGAGACAGTTGACAGGTCACAATAGGTATGAATCAGTGAACTAATATGGTGGTTTTGCTCTGCATAGTTGAACTCTAGAAAGATCTACTATAGGCGGTTTTACCTTACTCTACGTCTTCATGAAGGCACTGCATAGGTCTCTAAAATTGAATCTTAGATATGGCATTTGTTAAA